TGTGTGTGTGTGTGTGTGTGTGTGTGTGTGTGTGTGTGTATATATATATATATATATATATAACGCCCCTCTACTTACGAACATTCATACATACGAACGAAAAGGACTGTAAGTCCAAATTGTGTTCATTGGGCTCCCGTTTCCTGTCCGCAACATAAATTTTTTTTTTCTGCATGCCAATTCTGCCTAGTATGACTGGCCATTTGGAACATGTATCATTCATAAGTAGAAGAGCGTCATAAATATATATATATATATATATACACACACACACACTCTAAACAATCTTTATACATAAAACATAGGCTGTCCAACTGTCCGGAGACACATTAATATATTACTCTGCCGCATGGCAGACACTCCCCTGGAGAGTAATGTGGTATGAATGTGGCAAAGGCCAAAACACCAGCAAAGACAGTAAAAGGCCAAGTGTTGCCGTGTATTAGTTATTTAGGCTGATCCACAGACTGAAATGCACCTGAAATCTCATTCCTGCAGAATCTTGCATCCATTGGATAAAAATGAGTCTTATAAAGAAGGCGTGCGGTATCCCTGTTTTTCTGCAGCTTCTGAAAGGGTTTGTATCTGAATAATGAGTAGTGGAGACCTTTGAATGCCATTTTTTTTTGCTGAGCTCAGGGACCAGGGAAGCGAGTGGCTGAGTGACCTTTGCTTTGATTGGGCTAGAGCGTGGCAGGCGTTCACGCTGTTCTGGGTTAACATCACATTTTGGCAGAGTATCTCTCCCGGGACGACAGCTTTGACTGCAGTATGCTGGAGACTGGTCTCGAAAGGAGAGCTTTATTTTGTGATGGTCTGAGCTAAAGGCTGGAATAAAGGTACCGTTTCCTGACTAGATGTACAGAGCAGCAAACCCGCATGCTTCTGCTCTTGTCTCTCTTTAGAATGTACTGTGCCACCTTTTGACTGAGGAGGACTCCGGAACAGTGCAAACTGTACTCAAGCATGTCGGCTGGACGTTGAGAGACTATCATTCAGAGCTGCTGAGAGACGTAAGAGCTGCTTCCCTTTTATTTAGCTGTCAGATAATTGACAAAGCATTGACAAAGATAGTAAAATCACTGAACTCAAGCCTTATTCTGAACACTCTTAATGAATGGAATGGAATCCATGGAATGAAAATATCTTTATTTCATTTTGAAATTAAGTGTTTAAGAAAGGATTTTTTTTAAAGATTTTGGTAACTGTTCTTGGTACCAGGGTGTTAAATATTACTTGGTACCAGGGTGTTAAATATTAAATCTACCTAAGCGTATTCATCTTTACTATATTTGTCTTTAAAATAGCTTGCCAAGCCAGATTCTGAGTCCCTGTAGTTTTACCAGTATTCCAGTGATCAAAGTTATAATCCTGTTGCTGTATTGCAGTGTCCAGTGTGGGTGGGTGGGATTGCAGTGGAATTGCAGTGAGGTGTGGGTGTTCACTGTGCTACTCTTCTCCTTTGCAGATGGTGGCACTGCTGGTGAATGATGTCAGGAAAGCCTCCTGCAGTGAAATTCACACTCGGGGAGTGTGAGTGTCTGACAGTCCCTAAATGAATGGGGGTAGGGCAGTGTGTGGTGTGTGCTCACTAAGGCCTGGATGTCTCATGCTTTACACCAGTGGAAAAAAAACTTTCTTGGATCAATAAACAGCTAACTCTTATTCCACTTGACTAACTTGTGTTACACCTGCAGATGTTCATGTGACAGGATCCACGGCCTGTCCGTTTCCTGTACCCTACTGGTCACGTGTCCTGAGGCTGCCCCTCTGATTGGTGCTCTGCTTGAGTGCCCCTCCGTCTGTCCCAAGGCAGCCCCAAGTGAGGCCTTCCTGCATGCCGTGAATGAGGCCCTGCTGAGGTGAGCTGGCAGCTGTAGAGACAGAAAGCTGGTGTGCTGGTGAATGTGGCACAGCGGCCTTGGAACTGCTGGACTCTTTGGAGTATGGTGTATGGCTCTGTGGCTTAGACAAATGTGCCCTTCATGGAAAAGTCACTGGTTAAAATCCAATGGTTGGCAGAGTGATGTCATCACTGCGCCCTTGAGCAAGGCTCTTAACCCCAGTTGCTCCAGCGACTGGCTGATCCTGCTTCCTCAGTCGTACTCCACTTCGGATAAAAGTGTCTGCTAAATGAAAAATGTGTAATTGTGCATGTCCTGGGTTGCAGTGATGAACTTATCTTCTGGACAAAGTTAGGCTGTGATTTTCATAAACTCCTTAAAGTAGAGATCTTTTCTCATCCATTTTCCAGCTTCTCATCTGTTGCAGGGTGGCGGGGTGGGGTGGGGGGAAGCTAAAGCCTATCCTAGGCAACATTGGGTATATCCTCCTGAGACCCGACCTATTCATTTATGTCCATTGTAGTGGACATTGTATTTTTGCATTTATTTTTTCACTGATGTTGGGAAACGTATTTATTCTTGTTGTGCACTAAAGAGGACATGCTGTGAAATTAAAAAAGATGTCTTATTTCCTCCAAAGACAAATAACCTTCAATTGAAGGACACTTTTTTTCCTTGGGTCTCAGGAGGATATGGCAGGAATCATCTTGGCCAGGACGCTGTAGGCAATCGCAGGGCAGGCACACCCTCAGACTCAAGCACACCAGGCAATTTAAAAGCCCCAGTTTAGGAGCCCATCTGCAGAGAGCTGCACGGACCACCATGGCTGCTTTTGGTAATGAGGTTGGAGACCCTAATGCTACGCTTCGTCCGCCGGTGCTGCTCTCTGCCGCACGGCCAGTCAGAGGCTGGTCCTGGAGGAGCAGGCGGTGGTGGCGCTGTGGACTCGCAGCCTCGTCAGCCTGGAGAGAGCCACGCTGCAGCTCTTGGAGTTGGTGCTCTCGGACCCGCAGCCGCCCATGCAGGAGCTGGAGGAGCAGGTCACGGGCTCTCTACTGGTATGTCTGTGTGGGATATCGCTCAGACTCGCTCAAATCTGATCTGGTGCGTGCAATACTGTGTAAACCGGTTTATTAATGAAACTGTGTCACCTGGTCGTGTAGAAATAGATGGTATATAATATTATGTGAACACTGGCGGGGTTTCTGGGAGGCAGTGAATTGAAAATGATTTGTCCAATGAGGACGCTTTAGGTCAATCAGGCCAGTTTGGTTCCTCCAGGAGGATCTGCTGAAGTTCACAGCTATGGGACACTGATGGCTTCCACTCCCTAATGAACAGGCTCTTAAATCATCCTCAGCTGCGCAGGGAACAACCACATCAGCGCCCCCGCTTGCCATCCGCACAAGCCCCCCACTCCCGCCCCAATCCTCCTTTCACGCGAAGGCCCGCCATGCTCGTTGGTTTCGCTGTCGCTAGTGTTAATTTCGTCAGACGAGACGAGACGAAATATGTTCGTCAACGACCTTTTTTTTCATGACTAAGACGAGACGATGACAAGACTGCACCACTGTCCAAAAACGCTGACTAAGACTAAATTAACATGGATTATTGTTGACGAAAAAAGACGA